ACACGTGAAGCCTCTACTGCTAAGTTTCCAATATTACAAGTATGTGCACAGATTGCTTTGACTTGAGGATTTGTTATATCGCCGCAGTACGCGATGCGTAAGTCTCACAATTTTGTCGAGTTATGGGCAAAACTTTGGCCTCGGAAGGGACATCGACCCAACTTGGTGCTTCCCTGGGCGAAGTCTCGGTAGTGTAATGGACAAGATCACGATGCCCGAAAAACACACATACAAGTTCGAACCCACTCCGCCAACGTTGTGAGACTATGAGCGGAATATCCAATCAGCCAAGTTGTCGCAGAAGTTTGGCTCATAACTTCGATTGCAAGTCCTAAGAGGTTCCAAAATGACCATTACATATTCCTTCTCGGTATACTGTTTCATGCGACAATCGATGAAAACACTGTTAGTCCATTACGAAAGGCTTTGAATTAATGGCTGGCTGCTCAAAAAACATGTTCGTACAGTGTTGCTGTTCATTGTCCGAATTTCATTTCAGTCACAATGGAATTCATCGGAATTCGTTCGAGCACTTCCATTTCAATATCTGTTTTTTTATCAAAAATCTAATTTTCAAACACCAGTTATATTAAAAACTCGTATTTTTAGCAGGTTTCACATAAACACTGTGGAAGGACAGCTACTCAATCCCCAATTAATTCCAATTATCCTAACATCTGGATTCTAAGCAACATATTTACCATCTTGGCAGGTTTCATTAAAATCTTATAAAATTAATGCATCTGGATTCTGTCTTAAGCGTAAGCGTAGTAATGTGCGTTTAATTCATACGGTATAAACACGCCATGGTTTGGATTGATAGAATTTTTGCCTTTTTTATATACCTCTATCGAAGTTTCACCAACAGTTTCACTAGTCAGTATCAGCTGTATCATATGTACTCCCTCTGATCGTCGATTTTCTCGAGCGGGCGCCAGTAACGCCTCCATTCGTCCCTGTTGCCAGCCAGAGCTGTCCAGTGAATCGTACGCGCTCGAGGGACACGGGGCAAAACATTCGTTTCCTTCAGAGCTTTCGTGAAAAAATCTGACCGTCTTGTTGGCGGCCGTCCTGGTGTTCGCTTGACGTCTCGAGCGATCCAATCCGTAACCACATTGGTCAGTAAAAGTTTATTAACTCCCTCTGTTAATCGGATATAAGCAAACGAATCGAAATTTTCGCTACTGTACAAACCACGACCATCATTTACCTGTTTATATGGAGCGCGAGACATTAGACTCGATCGGCATGCCTCATTCGTCGCACCCGCTGGCGAAATCAGTTGTGGAAATGTTGGATTGGAGCGCGCAATCTATCGGCCAGAAATGGAATTGTCCCCTATCGACTGGTGGCGTAGCTTGTTGCTATTGAACACAGTCCTAGCAAAACAATGTCAAACAGAAAAGCACAGCCACCACAATGATCGCTACGTATCAAGGGCTCGGTGCTTGCGTTCCGAGTCTGACGTCTGGCCTCTGTTTGTTTGTTTACATGCTTTCCCGCCGCATTTTTGCGGCAATGATAAGGGAGTTACTACAGGAAACTGATCGTTAGGGAAAGGGTGATACCTGATCAGCCCATAACATCATTCTATGGATATGTGTACATACGTGCGTCCTAGGAAGCGCGCGGCAAACTACGCGGCAAAGTTCGCGACGATTTGTACGACCCTGGCGCCAGTTTTCAGGGCACAAACTTGAAGATTGATCGCGCTAATCTGTTCTACTTCAAATTTGGTCTCCAATGATAGGCGCTAAAGTCGTTCAAATCGCCACGAACTTCGCCGCGCAGTTTCCGCGCGCATCCTCGGACGCACGTAAGTTCCGTCCCCTTCATTCTATCGATATCCGACGATTGTGATTACACTGCTACCGGGAGACGGCAGAACGATTTCAGGTAATCGGCTGTCGCGGACCACTCATTCCCCGTTATTACAGCTCTAGCGTCCTTCTACAGCTCAATCGATATGCGATCATTATTTTATGCATAATTCTACTATTAGTACTTTTGTTCTTGTATTTCTTACCTACTGCTGCATCCTGCTACATTCCTTCGCGCGCGACGCCCCTCTCACCGCGACGCGACCATTTCGTTCCTAACGCACCACACCCCACTCCTACCCACCTAGNAACTACCTGGTAATCTGAAGGGAATTCTGGAGATGTGTCCAATGTTAGCTGTAAGGCCCGTACCCTTTCCAGCATGTTTACAGCTAATGAAGGCCGGTGAATCGTCATAGTACAAGTGCAGTAAAATAATTTCTGTTACTGTGCAAATAAAGCAAAGAAGTCTATTCAGAATTGGAAATCAAATAAAACCAAAGTGACTGTTTGTTTTCAACACAGAGGTTAACTAAATGATTTTACATCGTTTCCGATAAAAAGTGATAATAACAAGAATGGAAAACCGAAATGAATCCGGTAAACAGATGAAATTCATTCCACTTGAATATCTAATTCATAGGCATTGCGTTCAAATTTCAAAAAATGGTTTTTGGCAAACGATTCATTCATTCAATCTCAATTACACATGTAATCCATTAAAACGGCAAAACTGACATAGCGAAGAGGAAAGCGTGGTGATCCAAAAAAGATACAGATACATTTCTGTAGCATGTAACCCGCACTACGTCTCCAAAAAGCAGTAATGACCCAGTGCTGACCAGAAAGCGATCCTGAGCTCATACTAGTTACACTAACTACTGTTGGCTCAGGCCTATGTCTCCTCACTTCGGCTTAAGTGTCGTTTCCCACAAGTGCCCCATCTGTAGAGTGCTTAGATTAAATCTAAGCATAGTAGCATACCCTGAAGACGGAAGGTACTGATCCTTACAGCTTACGATCAACACTGGTATTACTAGTGGTAAACGTAGTGTGAGTGGTACAGATTTATTTGTTAATCGACGAATTCGGCAACGCTCCCCGACAATCTCTTTGAACCATTGGCTGACATCTTGGATGAGTTCAATGGCGTTGAGCAGAGGCCAGTGATGAGCTCATCATCTCGGTGACACTGAAATAAACATATTCATAAAACGAAACGGTGCTCCTCTATAGTAGAGTTGCGAAATTGTGAGGAACCAAAGAGGGAGGGGACCTGGGAAGGGTCGGAAGAATGGGGGCGGGGAAGCTTAAGGTGAAGATGAAGGCAGAATGCCGATTAATAACTCATAGGTATGGCAATAAAGACCCAGTCATACCATTTCTGGCGCGGGTTTATGATTCCACATATGCTTCGGTATCAGTGTCAGTCCCTGGGTATCAGAGGTTTGCTGTACCCCAAACACCCATGGGATTTCGGCGTCTCATATGCGTGGTGAAAGCCAATTAACACTGGAAATATTTTCAAAATTGTGTACATTGAAAACAAGCATACATATTGATGTAAAAGTCGGTAAGTCGATGAGTGATACGGCTCATAATTCCAGAAAAATGAGGACATTGAGGACTAGTTGGAATATCACGCTGGCAAGAGCCTCCTAGAATAGGCGGGTCAAGAGGTGCCAACGCGGCCACAACGCTAAAACTAGGTCATCGCGCCATAGAAGAGTAGACGCGGACTCTCCACCAACTCTGGTAATTCCTAAGCGTTTTGTGGAGCCGTATCCTATTCTGTAGAGCACTCCTTACTTCATTCTTCAACGAAAAGCTACAGAGGGCACGACAATCGTATCAGGACCTCATAAGATCGCCGACTGAAGCGGTGTTATGGCTCCTCTTGACCCACTCCCAAGAATCTCGAATATTTCGATCGCCCTCAATACCTTCCCAGTGTTACTTAAATGGGGCTCTGAGCCATTCAGCAATTTCCTACAACAAGGACTAAACCTAAGTTACTGTAGTAGTCTGGAGAGGTTGCTTCTAGGCAAACAATTCAAAGAGATAACATTGATTCGCAGTTTCATGGTCCTTACTGGTTCGAATCCTTACGGTACCTCATCGTGACTGTGAGTCTTCAGTGATTACTTCCATTTTCTTGTCAAACGAAAACTCTTGCTCTGCACGATCTTTCGAAGGACTCTTAGATGGTGTCCATGGCTCGCCCATTGACATTCGCACCTATGAAAATCACATGGCATTCTAGAAGAAACCGGTGAGAAACTTGACCTCGTACTGTACCTCAGTTGATTGCCTTAGACTGGCCGATTCCGTCGATGAAGAGCGGCGATTACGACTGCGACGAACTGATGAGAAACTACAAAAAAATAAAGCACCTATTTTGGCGATATGTATTTCCAACTACAAAAAAATAAAGCACCTATTTTGGCGATATGAATTTCTGCTCGGACTTGCTTAGCCCTCATTTAACCCCAGTAAGTCACTTCAAATGAATGCGTCATGGATAGGAAACATAGAGCGCTTGGTGTTCCTCACTGTCATTCGGGCTGCGCCACAGATTCGTCATCCCATTTAAAATGAATCGTCACTGAGATGGGGTTTTCCATTAAAAGAGAAAGGAGCTTGAGGCTCTTACGTGTCCAGAAAAATATGCAACCATGCTTAGGTCAAGCTAAGCTCACCTTTCAGACCAGATGCCGAGTTAAAGGCTCCCGGAATATACTTGAAAGAGAACAAATAAATGTACATATTATAAATGGGTTGTGCTTCGGAAGCTGCTACCTTCTATGACTACACTTCCGCCTTTCCAATCCCAACTTTAAACGATGCAGTTTCAGTGAGGAACATGTGGAAGGTCAATAATGTTTTCGCTCATATCGTATATGGGAGGCCCAAAATGGCATAACAGCTACACATAGTGGTTTCTGCAATTTGTTATAGGGGAGAATCTAAATTTCCTGAGAAGGTTACTTAGAGAGTAATAGAGACAGAAGGAGGTCTATATAAGGGGTAGCGGTATCAAAAAGCCTGCCATGTCCCCTACTCCTTATCAGTACTCCCAAGACTGGACGACTTTAGCGGCCTTGCATATGTTGATAACATTCAAAATGGAGCGCATTAAATGTAAATGCCATCAGCTAGCGCCCGCTGACAAATGACATAAGTTGCTGTGTGACGACTGGGATCTTTTCCCAGCACACGGCTTTTGCCATCAAAAGCTCATCCAACCTTAGCAATGATTAAGTTCAGAAGGCCTTCTATTTTTTTCTCAGCCACCGGTGAACTATTGTGCAACAACACCTTTACCATGCGAGCTCTCATGATAGTGTCGTCCGGTGTATACTAGCCCTTCAAATAAAAATGGCAACTGAGAAGGAATGAAAATGATGGATAAGCTCATACCTGCTATCCAAATGTAGTTGCTCTCCCTGATAATTGTAGAAGGGTCGATTACCGACTGGTATATTGACGAGGAATTTTTTTATAGTCATACGATATGGTGCATAGATTAAGGAAGTAATCAATGGATTAATAATCTGCAATTCGAATAATCGGAATTCTAAAGAATTGGAATAATTGACAAGTCAAAAATAAGCAGCTTATAAAAGTTGTGTTACCGGATTAATGGTGAGAAGGTAGATTAAAATCCATGCAATCCAGTTCATAAGCTGCTTGCCCTCGCATGACAACTCTGACCACCTGAAATTGACGATTCAATTACCTATGAGCAGTGAGGCAGAGGGTTTTTCCGTTGTAATGGATAAGTGAAAGCCCAATAGAGATGTCGGAAAGGTGACAAGCCGAAACAAGGCAACTAGCTAGGAAATGAGGTGTTTCGAGATATCTAACCAAACGTAGCTGCATGCTATGAGCAGTTAGGAACTCCTACAACGCGCATGTGCCATAATATCCTTGGGAAGAAGCTTATCTGAACTTCCAGCTATAACATCGTTCCTTCAAGTACTCCCATTATCATACTTGCTGAGTTCAAAGAAGGAGGAAGTATCCAAGTACGCGTTTTCATAGAATTTTTGTAAGAACGATGGCATCCCACGTAATAACCACCTCAGCTACTTCTGCTTATTGTCCTTTTTCCCAACTGCGGGTTAACTACTACCTGACCTTAGACTTCTTTTGGGAATGGCTCAATTCGAATCGTCGTTCTCTATCACT